ATGATGAGATTCGACTAGTTTTTCTTCACAAATGATGGAGGTTATATGGCCTTGGATTTAGGGTGAAATTTGATTTCGAAAGGAAGTTTAGGAAATTGAACATTACTTTTGCCAGATTAGACAGTTACGAACGTCTAATAGATCTGCTTTTTGACTTCGAAAGAAATTATGTTATGCGCATCTTTTGGCTTGTGTTGGATGATGAAAGTCCCACATCGGTTAATTTAAGGAATGGTCATGGGTTTATAATCTAAGAATACACTCTCTATTGGTATGAGGCCTTTTAGGAAGCCCAAAGCAAAGCCACGAGAGCTTATGCTTGGACAATATCATACCATTGTGGAGAGTCGTGTTCTTCTAACAGCCTGAATTAGTGAAAAAGAAGTAACAGTGAAATTTGGAGTAACGGTCGCAAAACTCTAAGCAAATCAAGCCACCATCCCCTTAGGGCACTGAATCAATCCTCCAATCATAGTTCAAACTACGGAGACAAATTGAATTTTGATCTATCTTTGCAGCTTGTATGCCCAAAATCAAGACTGCTAGATCGATTAAGGTTGATAGCTTATTGTGCGATTTCAACCAAGAAGAAGAAATGCAGAAGGTAGCGATTTATTTCATTGTGTATTCCTCACGGTATCCCGTGAACTTATTTTTTAAGGTTCTTATGAACATTAAATCCTTTACACAGAATTCAGAGCAATCCAGTAAAAATTCGATCGATACCGTCGATCCAACCACATCTCAAACTGCCATCGTGCCTGGTGAAACTAACAAAGAGTTGAATCCTAGCGAACTCAGAGAAGAAAAGGTTTGAAGTCTTGTCATGGCAGTATGATTCATTGAGCAACTTGTTACTTGTTCTTCGGTTCTGATTAATGGTATCTTTTTCAGGCGTCTACCCAAAACGAAGCAACGGAAAAGGCTAAAAAACTAGACATTTCTCGTGAAGATGGAAGGTTCGTTAATTTTGTCTGATTGGTTTCTCTTATCTTTCACCCAAAGAGGTCCTCTTCTTTTGGCTAACTTTTCTGCTTCACTTAGAGGAACTCCAAATGGTGGAATCGAACTGAGAGATGAACAAAATGATGCTTGTACTCCACTTCCAACTTTGAGTACTTGCAAGGGTGAACAACGAACTAAAGGCGCCACTTCTAAGAAGCACGAGGCAGCTAGAAAGATTGCCAGTATGGTAAAGAACTCATCGGCTCTGAAAGCCAGAAGTCAGTTGAACGTTAAACCAAATAGTGTAAAGAGGTTAGATTTTTCTGTTCATTTTTGTCTCTTATATCAAACTCGGTGGTGTAGGAAGTGTACTGACTAAATGATTCTACAGGGAAACTAACGTGAAAAATACATGTGGAACTTCGTCTTTAGCTCATGAGAATCAGCCAATTAAGCGGCAAAAGTTGGATGGTGGTCTATCTAGACAGGTGACTGTCTGTTGGTTACATAGTTTCTCTCTGATCCTTAGGCGACTGGTATAATTTCCATTAACCCTCTCTTTGTTTCAGATTCTCAATGTCAAACCCCATAATTTGCCCCACAAGTCAAAAGTTGGCGCCTCTAGCTTGTGTTCTTCGGTTGCTGACAAATCTAAGAAAGAAGATAGGAAGATTTATGTTCGAGAGCCTGCACCATTTGTCTCAATGGCTGAAATGATGAGGAAGTTCCAGTCAAGTACCAGAGGTTTATCATTGCTTCATGTCAACAACGCTCGTTCTAATGTAAATGACTTAAAGCCTATTTTTCTATCCTCCCCACGCCTCATCTGATCTGGGTTTCGTTGATTGTATGTAATTAATCACTTTTCTTTACAGGATGCTGGAAGTTTTACACAAATGAAGCCCAAGCTAACTTTGACTAGGCCAAAGGATCCTGAATTTGAAACGGCGCAAAGAGTTCGTTCTACCAAGGTGAAGAGTTCAGCTGAGCTAGAGGAGGAGATGATGGCCAAAATTCCAAAGTTCAAAGCTAGACCCCTAAACAAAAAGGTAAATAAAGCTTGACATTTGCAACCATTCTTCTTGTTTTCTTACTTAGTCTAGTCGATTGATGATACAGGCATGCTGAATATGATTTACCTGCTCGTTATGTTATGCTTTATAGATCTTGGAAGCTCCCAAATTACCTGTACTACCGAGGACTACACCCCAGACTCCTGAATTCCAGGTGAGCGAGCCAGCCAGCCAGTGATGGTGAATTTTAGAGCTTCATTTCAATTGACTAATCGAGTAATGATTGCTGCAGGAATTTCACCTTGAGACAATGGCTAGAGCGAACCAACATGCAGACTCAGCTTCAGTAATCTCTACAGAATCGTCTCGTCAGGTTTTTAGATGTCCATTTTAGTACTACATTTTCCCATCCCACACCCTTTTCAATCAGCTAAATTTATAGTGGCCTTTTCAATTCTCTTCAGAATAATCAATGGAAAGCTTATCTTACCGAACCAAAGACCCCTGTTCTGCACACATCACTAAGGGCTCGTCCACCGCGGGCGAAGAGTTTCCTTGAAATTGAGCAGGAGGCGCTGGAGAAAATTCCCAAGTTCAAAGCAAGACCATTAGATAAAAAGGTGTGTACTTGGCCTTGGCTACATGAAATCAACAGTTTGTTCTTATGTTCAATAGGATAATTTGTCTTCATGATCTGCTGCAGATATTTGAAAGTAAGGGAGAGTTGGGGGTGTTCTGTAACTTGAAAAAACATGTAACTAAACCGCAAGAATTTCATTTTGCTACAAATGAGAGAATTCCTCCGCCACCGACTGTTGTTGCTGATCTGTTCGACAAGGTAGCAGCTTTTCAAGTCCTTAAAGTTCTAAGAGTAAATGATTTCAAATACGTTATCATCCTCGTTTATTTTCCCCTTGCAGCTCTCAATAAGTTCGGAAACTCGCAGCGAGAATCCATTGCCAAGAAACACTAAGCCAAACCCCTTTCATCTTTACACAGAGGTAAGTGGCCAGCCAGCCTATCTTCATAAGCAACAAGAGCATAATTTGAGTTCAATTTTTCTCACCCTTCGCTTCTTGGATGGATGGCATCAGGAAAGAGGGGCAGAGAAAGAAAGAAAATTCTTCATGGGGCTTGTTCACAAGCAATTGGAAGAGGAAAGAGCCGCCATTCCAAGGGCTAAGCCATACCCTTACACCACCGATTATCCCGTGGTATATATAACCAACAACAACTTCCTGTCAAACTATGCGTGGGAGAAAGAACCATCATGCTAATGAATAACTGTTGTTTGAGCAGATGCCACCGAAACCAGAGCCCAAGCAGTGCACCAAACCTGAGCCTTTCCAGCTGGAAAGTCTGGTGAGGCATGAGGAAGAAATGGAAAGGGAAATGGAAGAAAGACGGAAAATAGAGGAAGAAGAGGCCAGAATGAGAAATTTCAAGGCTCAACCGGTTCTAAAGGAGTAAGTTCCACATTTATTACGCATATCAAGATAGAAATATTAAAGCCATAATAGGGACAATAATCAATGTCTGCATTCAATTTGGCAGGGACCCAATTCCACTACCAGAGAAATCACGGAAACCCCTCACACAAATTCAAAAATTCAATCTTCATGTTGATAATCGGGCTGTGGATAGAGCAGAGTTTGACGAAAAGGTGCATGTTCTTTTCAGATTTTCTGAATATTTCAAAGATAGTTCTTGTTTGCTAAGTTTGGAAGAGCTTTGACAGGTCAAGGAGAAAGAGATGATGTATAAGAGATACAGAGAAGAGAGCGACGCAGCAAGAATGGTTGGTTATATTCTTTTCAGATCTTTTGCATTTCATTGTTGTATATGCCAAATCTGTTCCTAACTAAGCTATGATATTAAAAATATTTGCAGGTGGAGGAAGAGAAAGCATTGAAACAACTGAGAAGAACATTGGTTCACCATGCTCGACCAGTGCCCGAATTCGACCATCCATTTCACCCACAAAGGTTGGAAAACAATACCAATTAAGAGTCAAACTTCTTCTTGTGTTATTTCACATCTTCTTTTGATTGATTTTGAGTATCATCTTCATCCCACGTAAAAAAATAGGAGTGTTAAGGAAACAACAAAGGCCAAGTCGCCAAACTTGCGTGTCCTTCAGAGAAGAAAGGAGAGGCAAACTTTGATTAAAGTTGCAATGTCCAGCCCCGCAGCTCATTTAAGGTGATTGAATCCCACAAGAGGGCCGGACCAGAACCGACCAATGTGTATGTTCAAGAACTCTTGAACCCTCCCAATGGCTGCATGAGAGAGATTCAGTTTATGTGTACCAATGTTCTATTCTTTTAGTGGCACCATGTAAAGAAGAATTAGCTTTTAGGATATTAGAGGTGGGAGACATACCGCAAGCTCCCATCTTCCTTGTCTGATGAAAATAAATATATAGCCAGGGGACCAGCAAAACCTGATGGGGTTTGTAAAATGTGGATGAACTTTTATGTGTATCTGGGCCCACCATTTTTTATTTTTTTATGAAACACGTGAACTCGTGTAATTATAATCTCTCTACTTTGAAGGAACCTAGTTGGATCAGTTAGTTACGAGTACAACTGTGAAGATATACTACATCGGTTGGAGAAGAGAACAAATGAAACATTATGTGGAAATCTCTCTAGAAATGTTTTAAAAATCTTGAGGAAAATCTATAAGAGAAAGCTCAAAGAAGACAAAATATATATTAGCTAGCTTCAGCCATTATAAATAGTATCAAAGTCAGATATTGAACACTGAATTTCGAATGGGATGGACCTAAATGGTATATAAGACAATAATATTTATCACTAGTGAACTCAACAGAGAAGAGAAGAGAAAGCAAATTATGCACATGAGCTAATTTCATCAGCTGAGATTTATAAGGAAGAACCGAACCATGAACAGAAACAGATCAATCTGATTCTCTGAACTATAGATAATATAATAACCATAGTGTTCGTAAGGAAGAACCAGACACAGAAACATCATCAGCAGCTGATTCTTTGAACTAAGATCTTCACATTTTTTCATGACAGATAATGATGAAAAATCCACTACTAACAAAGGCAATTCTTTCTTGATCTTCTCGCACAGACCCTGATTTGGATATATAAGGGCGGGCACCTGACAGAAGAGAGAGAGAGAGCATGAGCAGATTGTTGTTATGTTCATAACTTATCAGATCTGGAAGTGTTTATTATATGCAGCAGCATTTTCTTGAATGGTTATTTGAATTCTCTCCTTATTATCATCCACATGCCCACAGACACTGTTCTTCATCTGGTGGACTCAGCTGACATCTTCCTTCGCCGCTTGTTGTGGCCGGCGAGACGTCTCCGGCAACTCCTTTTCGCTTCGTCGAATGCCGACGGCTCATGAAATCTACACTTCAATTCATTGCTATTCTTGGTTAGAAATCAAGATTTTTTCATAATAACATGATATCCTCCTCTTTAAACATAAACTCTTTCTAGTAGTTTTGTTTAATCCTATAAAATCTAAAAAAAAAAAACTCTAAGCAGTGTTTGTTCCAAACCAGCTACATTGCTGACAAAATCTCTTCTTAGACCCACCCACAAGCACAACCTGAGCTTTGGCATGAACCTCACAGACCTTGTGCCTCCTGTGGTACCGTTTGGCTTCACTCAAATCAGCCATACACTTCTCAGCTAGACAGCACCGCATACCCCCGCCGCCGCCTCCCGCCGCCTTGTTCCCAAAGCCGCCACCACCACCACCACAGATGAATATACCCTTTTCACCACCCACCACAGCCTCCTCCTTCACCCTCTCCTTCTCCATAAACCTCTCCCTCTGTTTCTGCTGATGATGGTTTGTTGTTTCAATTTTGCCAACAAAGACCAGTTGGTGTGGGAGTGGTAGAGAAGAGAAGATTCCAAAAGCAATGGACCACGAACACACATCAACAGCGACAGAGGCTCTGTGATGGGTATGGTAGGTCCACGTGGACTACTCTATTTGGATATCTAATTTACACTAATATCTCAATTTCATCAAATTTTCATTATTTGGTTATTTTTTTAATTAGTGTAAGTTAAAAAAATTAAGAAAATAAAAATAGAAAGGAAGATTTTCTACTACCGCGTAAATTTGGGCTCTTAGACCGTCCCATTTGTGGCCCAATTGACCAAATCAAGCCCAATAAGCTAGTAAGTTGGGCTTTTACCTTGTCGTTTCTAGCCCATTTGATAAACGAAGGCCCACTTTAGGCCCACTGTCTCACCAACGGCGCCGCCACGGTCATTCAGTAACAGTTACATATAGTTAATCGTTTGAAACAGAGAGTGGCATAGTTGTTATTTACAGGTACATGGAAGGGTGAATCTGTCATTATGGTTCAAACCCTAGTCTCCGCGAGTTCTCTGACTTGATTTCTGCATGAACTAGCATTTCGCGAGGCACCTACTTGGTGATCTCTCACCATTTCTGTCTATTTCACTTCCGGCGGCCTTAGCAGGTTGGTGTCTTTTGTTTGATCTCGTGCATTATTTCACTCTTTTATGTTCTGTACTTACTGAGAATATTCAAGCTTATTGGAAAGGATTTATGTTCGGTTTTGCTCCTTAATGGAGATCTTAGCTTAATTCTACTAGCTGGTTGTGTTCGTCATGTTCTGTCTCTGGCCATACTGAGAACTTGTTTGAGGCATTAGGTATTTTGTTTGTTGTCGGAGATAATTTCTATTCCTAGCTTCAGAAAGTTTTTGGTCCGATTTGCGTGCTGTAGTGTTCCTGATATTTCCGAAATGTAAAATTTCTGCTCCTTTTAGTCTTGTGGATAATTTGATAATATGTTGTGTTTCTACACTCGAGCGTATTATATGCTTTTCGGTATATTCCTTGCAATAATATTCTGTGGTAATGGTGTGGTTGATGCCGAGTGGGGAATCTCAAGGGTCAGAATCACAATTGTGTGGTTGTAGTCATCCTATTTTGAAGTCAAGGGAGAAAGATATCCACAAATATTGCTATCTCAGGCATTAGTTTTGTGGCAAAAATGGTATACTGAAAGAATCGAGAGAGTGAAGAGTGGGGTTCTTCCTCATATCTGGTACAAGGGTGATCATTTGGGTGTCACTTAATTTATAGTTGCATTTTCTTCTAATTTCCAGTGCTCTTTATTTTTGGCTTGTATGTGATACATGGGAACAAATTTTGAATTTGGTTATCCCGTGGGTAAAGAAGTTGAAGAGAAGGGCCAGATGCAGCTGAACCGACTTAGATCACAGGGGGCGATCTCCTCAGCTAAGGTAGCTCGAGCCGGGTTTTTTTTCCCGATGTTTTTAGTTCCCTACTTCCCCTGCTGCCAAAGCCTTACTTACTAGACTAGATAGGGAGGCAAGAGAGAGAAAGTCCTTCTCACTCGACTTGCGCGAGTAACTGCCACTACGTGTGCCATAAAGACCATTCCCAATTTCTACTGTATTCATCATTTAGCAAAGTAGCATTGTGTTTTTTTCTCCTTTTGGAGGAGAGAAATTATTGGTGTGGACGATTTGTAAGAGATAACTAGGATAGGTATAGTGAGGTTCCATTTTTACACTTCGATTTTGCTATATCTTAAATTGCAATTTACATTGGCTCGAGCCTTACAATTTTTTCTGACAGTAAGGAACGAATATACTTTAGAATTCATAATTTACATTATCTTTTCTCCTGCATCTATTCAAGTTCATTATTTAGTGGTCTGCAGTTTGCACTTCTATGTATGACTGGAATATAAGGCCTTAACTAAGTGATCTTGCTTTTAGGAGTTTTCTATAGATAAGGGAAATATTCTTGGTATTTGTAGTAGCCTAGTTTCTACTATTTTCAACAAAGAATGTAACTAATGCCTATTTTGACAGACTCTTGTTATTCTTGGATACAATGTTCTCAGAAAAGTTTAATTAGTTATGCTTTCTATGCTTAAAACTTGGTGTCATCTTGCAATTTTTTAAAACGGAAAACTTAGCCATGTTTATCTTGCCCCTACATAGGTCCCTATCTGAGTCCTTACAATGGCAGACACATCACACCATTCATCAGTGTTTCAGAAGATATGTGGCCATTCTCACCTCACTTCTAGGCTTTCCCCTGGCTTTCAGTCCATACGTTATAGTACAACAGGTGTACATGCTAATGGAGTCTTGGAGAATCTCTTAAAGACATCTTATCATGGTACTGGCTTGGCTGGAGTTTCACCTACTTCTCCGTTTCTTGTACAAGCTCCTTCTGAGAAAGGTGCAGCTGGGTTTGCTGTGGATTTTCTCATGGGAGGAGTATCTGCTGCTGTTTCGAAAACTGCTGCTGCTCCAATTGAGCGTGTCAAACTGCTGATACAAAATCAGGATGAGATGCTTAAAACTGGTAGGCTATCTGAGCCATACAAAGGAATTACTGACTGCTTTGCTCGAACAATTAAAGATGAAGGAGTCATTGCCCTATGGAGGGGAAACACAGCAAACGTTATCCGATACTTCCCCACACAAGTCCGTTTCCTTCGATAAGATAATTTTTTCAATCCTTTTTTTCCTTTTATTTTTAATTTAAAATTATCAATTCTCTTATTTTTCTTGATTTTTTTTGTTTTGAATCTGTTCCTGTTTTTTTGCCCCTTGTCTACCACTAGAATAATTATGCTAAATATTTAAAATTTGTTGGTGCACTAGGCTTTGAATTTTGCCTTCAAGGATTACTTCAAGAGGCTGTTCAACTTCAAGAAAGACAGAGATGGTTACTGGAAATGGTTTGCTGGGAATTTGGCCTCTGGTGGTGCTGCTGGTGCTTCATCTCTTTTATTTGTTTATTCCCTTGATTATGCTAGAACTCGTTTAGCCAATGATGCTAAGGCCGCTAAAAAGGGTGGTGAGAGACAGTTTAACGGTCTTGTTGATGTTTACAAGAAAACCCTTAAATCTGATGGCATTGCTGGGCTGTACCGTGGATTTAACATCTCTTGTGTTGGAATTATCGTGTATCGTGGTCTTTACTTCGGAATGTATGATTCGTTGAAGCCCGTGGTTCTGGTTGGCGAGTTGCAGGTCAGTAATTTCATTAATCATACTTGAATACAATTTTGTTCTGCCTGTTACAAGATAGATCAAATTTTTATTCACATGAGACCTCACCTGGATAAGTGGCTACAAGATCCGGAGTCATCCCTATGTATGTGTGTATTAACAAGGGATTTCATGCAATGTTGGCAGGATAGTTTCCTTGCTAGTTTCTTGCTTGGATGGTGTATCACAATTGGAGCTGGTTTGGCGTCGTACCCTATTGATACCGTCCGAAGAAGAATGATGATGACCTCAGGTGAAGCAGTCAAGTACAATAGCTCCTTGGACGCATTCAAACAGATCGTTAAGAATGAGGGTACTAAATCTCTATTCAAGGGTGCTGGGGCAAACATTTTGCGTGCTGTTGCCGGTGCTGGTGTGTTGGCTGGGTATGATAAGCTTCAGCTCCTTGTTCTTGGCAAGAAATATGGTTCTGGCGGTGGCGGTTAAAAGAGCCTATGTGACTGCATGGATGAGTGAAGGTTGTGTAGCTTCTCTCAAGTAAGTTGAATAATCTGTTATGAAAAGTATCACCAGAGTTTTGAGTGTTTGTTGTTTGTGGCTTGAGCTTGAGCTTGAAAATGTGATCTTGGTCATTTAAGAACTACTCTTAAGATAGCAATTGCCTTTAGCTAACGTCCATCGTGTGCATAAATGTTTGTATTTTATTTCGAGCATTGCTCGTTTGTTTCGTATATCGTAAAGAACACGGGCACTCTGTTTTTAGCAGAATATACGTCTCAGATACTGTTTCGTATAGCTTCTTTTATAATATCGTTCAAGTTTGGTTTCAAGTTTTGTTGATCAATCGGGATTTTTGCCACAATAAGTTGGGAATTTGTACAAATTGAAGGTTTAGGATGTGAGTTCTTACAAATCAGATGAGGCCTTATAGTTTAGCTGGGCTGGCTCAATTGAAGGAATTGAATTTGGCCCATTAGGTATTTGTACAAAGGTGTAATAGTCCAAATTCACAGTTACTTTCGGCTTTTTTTTTTTTTTTTTTTTTTTTTTTTTTTTTTTTTTTTTTTTTTTTTTTTTTTTTTTTTTT